TAGCCTCTTCTCAGAGGCTTCAAGGCTAGAACTGGATGTTGGATCTGGCTTCTTCCTCAGAAGACAATTTATGGCGACATGTCGGAGACTCTGTTTTAATGAAGTTGCAAAAGTAGGTTAATGGGCTGTGGGTGTTTTTCATTCCCCTCCCCCTGCCCCATCTCCACCCCTGGGCGGATGAATGATGCCTCTCCCAGCGCGATGCAGAGCCGGCCTGAGGATCTCAGGCCTGGACTCACGTGCTCACACACCTCTTCCTTGGCCTTCTGCTCAGCTCCTCAGATCTCTTCCTCCTTGTAGCTGGGGAGGCACTCAGAACATCTAACCCCAATCCCTCCTGCTGTCCCTGTGGCTCGGAAGATGCTCCAAAGTCCGCCCAGACTGGCATATTTGAGTGGGCTAGGGCAAGGGCTCAGGCAGGGGTGGGACCCTGGGGAAGAAGGAAGCTAAACTTATGGATGATGGACATCTTTTGGCTTGGAGAGGCATGGAGGTAGAAGCTAACAGAACTCTGCCAGTGTGAGAGCAGGAACCTAGCTTCTAGGAGCCTCTCCAGTGGCTGTCCCTGCCTCTCTAGTTCATCTGTGTGTCCTGGTGCCTTGCGCGGAACGTGGCTGCCCTGGCGAATGGTTGCTGAGTGAATGACGGACGCAGAGTGATGACTCCTCTCCGCTCACCAAGCCTCTGGGGCTAGAGCTCCCCCCACCCTTGATCACCTCTGAAACGGCCCTCAGCCTGTTCCTGCTTGGGACCCCCTCCTTCCCTTCCCAACTCTCTGCCCAATCCTTGCCTCACACCCCCATCTCTCAGGAAGTTTTCCGTCACTAAGCTGCAAGGACAATTCTCTATCTATTTGTCTGGGTCCAAGGTGAGGGGCTATCACCCCTGGAAGACTGGGGTGTTCAGGAGGAAGGGTCTATATCTTTTTCCTCCAGATTTCCCCTGCCTCAGTAACATTCAGGCATGGCTCTTGGCTTGAGGGGGGAGCTCCGAGCCCGGTTGTTGGGGACATACACCCAGGAAGACTATCCTCTCCTTGGTCCTTGCTCCCTACAGAAAGCTGCAAGCATGCCCAATCTCTGGCCAACAATCACTCCTGGCCCCTCACTGCCAATAAATAAGGCTGTTGACCAGGGTTTGGGGCCTGAACACCCAGGTGGAGTGGAGAAGGGCCTCACTGCCTGCAACCTCAGATTATTCCCATTTTCTGGAAACCTGGGCCACCTCTGCTGCCTCACACCTGGCTTTTTTTTTTTAATAGCCCGAGTTCTCTGCCCTGTTCAGGCCCAGGAAGAAGCACAGGCTTTGTAGCCTTTTAGACTACCTTATAGAAATCCCAGATGAACCCTACCATAAAGCCCAGAGAACCCACCATAATCTCCAGGGAAACTCCAATATCCTTAGCCTTACACCAGCATCCAGAATCTATACAAACATCTCCAAACCCACTGTAACACCAAGGACTCCCCGGCCCAGGCAGTGCTACTGTGCCACCCCAAGTGTGGCACATGCGCCCAGGCTCTCTGCAGGAGCACCTGAGCCTCTCAAGCTGGACTTCGTGCTCCCCTGCACTTGTTTTCTCTCCTGACCCAGACAGGACATTCTTCTTGAAGGCTCCAAAGTCTTCCCTGGACCCTGCCCCCATAGTTTCACTGTGGCAGAGGGAAGCGTGGGTACGCAGGGCATGGATGTGGGTTGGGTGGCTCATGGAGGGTGTCAGGACTTGAGAGAAGGACCCAGTCAGCTGCCAACTCATCTGGATGTCTGAAAAGCTCAGGCAGGAGGCCTAGAGGTCAGACCTTGGGAGGCCTTGCCTGAATCGGTCGGGCTCTGGTGTATTCATAGGTGGGTAAGCAGAATGAGCATGTGGTGGAGGTGGCTTCTCTTTTCCTTGGTCTCAGCTAGAGGACCCTACTCCCTAGAGATATGGGGGAAGTAGGGAGTCTGGGAGGGCAGCAGACCAGATGGCCCCGGAGGGCCAGGGAAATCCAGAAGCCATGGGCATTTACACCTGGGGCTTCTGTGGACAGAGCCACTGATAGGAAAGGAGGCAGGACTGCTGGGTCCCCTGGACACACATCTGTACACGTCTCTGTCCAAGTGTTTTGGGCCTAGACCGGGGGCAGGTGTGGGAGGGAAGATGGAGGGAGGACTGGGAAATGGTAATTCAGAGGGAGGGCACACAGGCCTGGTCTGTTAGTCTGATGACAGGGGACACTCACATCTCGGACCTGATTTAGCAAGAGCTGGAGGGAGTTGTTCAGTGCAGGGAGAAACAGAGGAGAACCATGGGTTTCAAATCAGGAAGGCTTCATGGAGGAGCAGAGTGGGCAGCGGGGATGGAAAAGAATGGAGGGGCAGAGTTGGGGAGGGTTCTCACTGGGTGTGAGGGGGAGGCAGCTTTCCTGGCCAGGCTGAGAGTCCAATCTGCAGTCACCAGAGGTTAGAATCTGGAGGTAAAATTCTGAGAATGAGTGTGAGGGTGGAGGCAGGTGGTGCTGGGACTCTGGGCTCTGCCCTTAACCCTTGACCTTGAGCAATTTACATATACTAACAGAGTCTTCTTTCCCTAATCACAGGGGATAAAGCAAGCATTCTCGATTATTTAAAGAACTTCTCCGGTGGGTGAGACCAGCATTTGGGAGGAGGCTATTTAGGCCCTAGTTAAATAGATTTCAGCAATGTCAGCCCCTCGTAAGTGAGAGGGCTAGGTCAGCTCTGCCGCTAGCCAATCACTTCTGCAGCCCGAGTTCCCCTAAAACGAGGGGGTGTTGTTCTGACTGATCACTTGGGCCCCTCCCTCCATCTGATATTTGTTTAATAATTTTCAAGGTCCTTACAAGAATCAAATGAGCTCATGAATGCCGAGAAGCCTTGCAGAAATATAAAGTGTGTTCTCAATGTGCGGGGTTGAGGGGCTGCCTGGTGCTGGAGGGAAAGGCGCTTACTTTAGAGTCGGGCCATGGGGCAGCGGCCCATCATTGTGGCTGGGACCCCTTGAAAGAAAGGCAGGGCCCCTGCTGGGTGTATGCCCCTCCCTTCCCACAACCTCTGGACACCTGGCGTCATTCCCTTCCCCCTTCCTAGCCCAGCCCCAGGCTGGGGGCGGTGAGCCCTGCTCAGGATGGGGGTGGGGCTCCCGGGGCAGGGGCAGAGGCGTGGGCGCCTCCCCTCTGAGTGGCTCCAAGCTGGAGCACAGCAATTACGCAGGAGGATTTATGTCCCTTTGCCTTTAATCGGAAACTCCGTGTCAAGAAGAAAAATCTGCACTGTCCTCCGGCCCAGCTTCCTGCTTTATCATTATTATTGGAGGAAGGTTGATTTGGAAACTTAGAGAAAAGTGGGGTTGGGGGTGGGAACCACCACGGAAGGGGAGGTGTGGGGCGGAGGGTAGCCTTCCTACTGTTTGTTCTGGTTCATCCCAAGAAGGGGACAAAGGGTGGGACGTGGGGCTGGGGATCCTGGAGCGCAGGGGAGAGAGACAACAGGTTCATTAGGGGACGGATAGTGTCTGGGGGTCGCAGAAGGAAGGGGCATCTGGGAAGCAAGGGAGATGAGACGCCAGAGGGAGGGAAAGGGTGGGTGACCATAGCGGGCAACCAGGAGTTAAAGGGACTTGGGCAAGAGGACGAAGAGAGCTAGGGCTCACGGTGGAAGGAAGGGGAGATCAGGTACTGGAGAGGCATTGTGAGGGTGTAGGGAGAGGATGGCATAACCAGTGGGGGGACCAGTTCTCAGGGAGCTATGGGAGAGGGAGAGTATGGGGTGTCCAGAGGGAAAAGAAGGGCTGGAGCCATGGAAGGAAGAGGCATCCAAAGCCTGGGAGAGGGTAGGGGTGGGGGTGGGGATTAGGGGTAACCAGAACCTGGCCTAGGGCTCTGGAACTCTGGCCCGAGTACTATACTCCACCTCCCAGAGAAATTGCTCCTAAAGCAGAAGTGGTGGAAACCTGAGGCTTTGTGGGAGGGCAGCACCCTCCACCAAGGAGACCAGGAGACAGGGGTCCAGTCCTGGTGTGGCCAGGGGAGGAACGGCTTTCATGGGGCCATGTTAGCAGGTATAGTGCTTGGGAATTTGCTGCAGAAATCCTTAGGCCCTGGGGAGACTGGGTGGGCCTGAAGTGTTGGAGGGTGAGAGGCACCCCTGGGGAGGGGAGGGGCCCAGAAGGCCTCTAGCACTCCACATCCTTGTCCGGAAGTTCCCCTAGTGTCTTACCTGTTGTCCCTCCAGTTACCCAGATTTCATCTTCACCTGCGGAAAGGACACCAGCTCTGGGGTTGCTCCCTGGGAACTGACCTCCTGTGTGCACCTCTGTGAATCTGAGGTTTCTTATCCACAACAATATCTCCACAGCAGGCTGTTGTCAGGATTAGAGATGATTGGGCAAAGGATCCAGCACACAGTAGGCCTTCCAAAGACACCATGCCCACCTGGGGGTGGTGCCCAGTATGTGCCACCCCCTTCCTTTACAAAGGACAGATGAACTCTCTGTGTGGTTCCTCATCTGGGTGTGTGTCATTGTCTTCCTTGGAATGGGAACCTTGGCACAGAGCCACTGAGTGACGTGCCTGAGGCCACACAGCACATCATAGGAGCAGCCGGATGAGACAGTTCCATAACACCACCCAAGGGGCTTGAAGATCTTCTCTGGGTCTCCTCCCTCCCTCCTTCCCCCAAGGGCCCCACCCCCGGCCCCTTGTCCTGGGATCCAGGGTTGAGTTTGGGGTGCTCAGTGGAGTGTCTTGGCTTCCGATCCTACTGCAGCCTGGCCCGTGCCCACCCTCAAGCGCCTCCTCCCCAGCTCAACTGAGAGGTTTTATAGCCGTTTACGAGCAATTTCTGTCCATATATCACCGGAGATATATAGCCAGGCAAATATTAGGGACCCAAGCGGAGGTTTTAAGAGGTGAGTTTTACTGCTGCTGAAAGAAGGCGTGATAGGCAGCCTGCGGAGACCCACCTCCCTCTCGCGTGCTCGGCGGCGGCCGGGCGGTGGCAGCATGGACTGGGCTTCGGCCGGGAAGACTACCTGTGAGCCTTGAGTGTCAGCCTGGCACCCAGGGGTGCCTGGCGGAGGGCAGGGATCACAGTGTGGAGTTCTGTTCTTGCTGTGAATGGGGGGAGGTGGGGGCAGAGGGCCGACCCGAGGTCCCCATCTGGCTGGGACAGAACACCTGCTTCCAGCCCAAGCAGGAAGACACTGATTCCAGTGGGTCCGACCCACGGAACAGTTGTCAGTGAGGCACCAGGAAAGCGCTGCCCCGACACGGGCCCCTGGAAGGGGCTGTCGTGTGGCCTTTCACTGCAAGTCCTTAAGAACTGCATCTGAACGAGGAAACGGCTGACTTGAGGCAGAGGGCTGGACACGCGGCCTCTTGCCCTCTCGGGCCCTGCCCGATTGACCCTGGGGGACGGCCGATAGGAGGCCTACCTTGACCCGCTCTGCGCGGGACCCCAGGTCTGGCCCACGTGGCCCCTGGCCCATGTGGGCGGCTGGGTTGGGGTGAGCACAGAGGGGTGAGGAGAGCCTTCTTGGCTTGCGGCATATGGTGAGAAGATGTCCCGGGGAATCCTCGCTCCTGATTTAAGCAGCTCCGACAGCTTTATGGCGCCTCCTCGAGTGAGCCCCCAACGTTGGCCGTTTAACTTTTTAGCGTCGTTTAACGCTTAGGCTCTGGCGGACAGGCAGGCCCCTCGGCCCCAGAGGCAGCAGCACTAAATCAGGACACTCTGAGGCCCCGATAAATAATTTTTACAGGGCACGCAGCCCATAGATCACCAATGGGGGTGGGGGGAGAGCGGCTGTGATATTTCAACCAATTGTCATATATGACTACCCCGAGCTCTGATCCAGGTCGTCCGCTTGGCAGCCAGCTTCATAAGCACAGCCCCAGGGCCCTCCACGCAGGGCCTGGCAGGGGTGTGGGGAGATGGTGCCTCTGATAACCCCACAGCCAGCTGGTGACCTGGGGATGCAGGTCTGTTTAAACCTGCCTTAGTCTGCAGAGCATAGCGCTCCATCCAAGCTGCCTCTGGCACTTCGAGAAGGAAGGGCTGGGGGCCGGGTGGGCAGAGAGGGAGAAAAAGAACTTTTTGTAGCCAAAAAGTCACTTTTCAGACCACCTTCCTGGTTTCCCCATCCAAATCCAAACCTGCGGGGCCCGGGAGAGAATAGGCCGTAGGCCTGCAGCCAGAGGGAGGGCAGAGATGGGGGCTGGAGGGAAGGGAAACTGTGCCATTGACACCTCTAGTGATGGGGGGCAGGGAGTGGAAGAAGAGAAAGGAACAGCGGGGAGGGAGAAGGCCAGGCAAGAGAGGGACAGAAAGATGAAGATGGAAAGATGCATGAAGACTCAGAGAAAGAGAGAGAGTCAGAGGCAGGAGGAGACAGACAGAAACTTACCCAGAGAGGATGTTCCGACAGACAAGGTCTCTTCTTCCAGCCTGGTACCCAGCCAGAGAGATGGTGGTGCAGACAGACCCGGGGAGGGTGGTCTGTCAGGCTGGCCTGTCGTGACCTGGGAGGGTACCACCAGCACCCGGGGGCCTGTTTCCCAGCACCAGCTCCACGCTGCTCCCCACCTCGCCCCTCCCCCCAGTGCCCTTGCCCCGTCCCCTCATCTGTAAGATCCTGGGATTTGCGGGGACACTTAATCCATATGGAGCTGATTCATTTCCATCTAAATCATCTCCATGAGCTTCCCTAAGAGCCCTCTGATGTGCCAGCCGCCATTCCTCTCCCCGGTGATGGCGGGCTGGGGGCTGCCCGTAAACAAACCTCAGCCGCCATCCATCCATCCTGGCGTCGTCCGTCAGTCCAGCCAAGACCATTCATCTCTCCAACCCTGCTCCCCTACCCGCCCCCTTGGCTCCTCCAGTCCTTCCTTCTGTCTGTCTGTCCATTTGTGTGCCCCTCCCCTTCATGCCCCTCTTCTGGAGCCTCCACTTCTCTGCCTTGTCCAGGGTAGCATCGTGAGGGGTCAAGTCAGCTATACCCCTGCCTGCAGACTGGAGCCTTACCTGATCCTGGCCCATCAAGATGGGGGCCTCCTGGTTCACCACCTTCCAAGAGGAAAGGTCTTCTGATGAGTTTACTGAACAGTGTTGACAACCCAGGTTCAGGGAAGTTCTTTCTTCCATCTAGCTCGTGTGTTGGAAGTCCACATATGATCACAGGTTTGAACGGGAGTGAGGGTAAGATTACATAGGGTTCGGTCTCCAGTATTTGTAATGTGTACCTCTCTGGGTCTCCTCCAGCTAGTCAGGCCCATGCCAGGCATGTAGTAGATGCTCTGTGTCCACTGTATACTGGCCACAGCCTTATCTATCAGCTTCAATGAATCCAGGGCCCTCACATATGCCCCGCTAATCCAGTAGGTCTGTTACAGGGCCCAGATCGTGGCACCTCTAGCCTGGCAGGGTTTGCAGGAAGCACTAAGGAAGTGTCTTTCTCTTCTGCTCTCCCACCCAAACTCCTTAGCCCTGTCCTGAGGGTCGAGGCTGTCCAAACAACTCTGTCTTGGTAAAGATGGTACCGAAGAGGAGGAGGGTGAGCAGCAGGTGCTGGGGGTCTTCCATGGCACCAAAATAGAAGCCTCACATTTGGGTTTACATGCACTGATAAGGAGATCGTGGAGAGCATTGCTGCTCCCGGCCCCAGTCTTGGGCCTAATGACCCTTCCCTTCCCAGGTTCTTCACATCAGCCTGGAAAGTGTGATCCTGGGAAGGGGCTGGGGGTCTGTGGGGCTCTCATGAGAGGAGACGGGAGCATTTCTTCTGGTCCCGTCTCAGTTTCTCCATCCACAGCAGCTGTGGGAGTCAGGGACTGGATCTGTCTCCGGAGTAAGAGACTGTAGCGGCCCTGCAGGGGGATGATGCGGGCATGCATTAAAGAGTTTAGGTGGTGGAAGTGGAGCCACAGGAAGGGATGAGGGCAGCCTCTGTCCATTTCACAGTAACGGCAAGTGGGAGAGGCAGAAGAGGTGGGGGACAAGTCTTTGGATGGCCTGAACAGGCGGGTGCTCCGGCCTCTGCCACCGCCTCCACCCACCCTGCCACACCATCAAGACCCTGGACACCTTGCTGAGCACCTGACCTCGCCCAAGGTCAAACCAGACCAGGTAGAACATCCCACTGCATGAGTCGCTTCTCCCCAGGCGAGTGCCCAGCACCTTTCATGCTTGTCGTTGGTCCCCTCCAGGGAGCTGCTGTGAGTGTGCAGAACAGGTGGGGCTCTCCCAGCTGCTATCCAGCTGTGAGGATCCCAGCCCAGGCCTCTCCCACCCTCTGCAGGGGAGAAGGCTCTCATTCTAGCTGGAAAGATGAGAAGGGTTGTGGTGGGAGAGAGGGGCCAGAGGGGGCCACGGGGAAGCTAACCACTTGCCCCAGTTGTGTGAACATATGTGTGGGAGGGGAGGGGCCCACAGGTGGCAAGGCCCAGCTTAAGAATGATGGAGTGTTTCTTAGTTCTCTGAGCTAGAGACATATGGGGTATATAAGACCAAGCAAAATGAGAAATTATTGCTTGAGAGAGGACATGGGGGAAAAAGAAAAAATTCAAGCCAGGGGGACCTATTGCCACCTGCCGGCTCAACATCATGACCTGACCCGTCTGTGTTTGGCTGGATCAAAGTCCAAGGGGAGGGGGAGGCCTGAGAGCTGACCCTCAGTGCCTCTGGGAGGTAAAAGCTGATGCCCAAAACGTGCATTTCCCCGATGTCACACAGAGCAAGGGGAGCTGGGAGCAGCTGCCCGATTCTCCAGGTGGGACTGTGGGTGGAGCTTGCCGCGTGGCCTCCTTCCTGGGCCGCCTGACTCCCCGTCCCTCGCCCTCCCTGGTCTGATGGGGAACCGGTGGTCTCTTCTCCTGCCGCCCTGTCCACTCGGTGGTCCCACCCTCTCTTGTTTCCGGCTTGTCTCCCCTCCCTGTGCCAGGCCTCCCAGGCTTTGTCTCTTCCCAGATAGGCCCCGCCCCCAAATCAAGTCCACTTACCTAATCTCGTGGCTGATGCGAGTTCTTCAGGGTCCACTTGTGGGCTGGTGTCTTGGTCCCGTGGGGTTGGAGTTTCTTTGATCTGTCTGTCCTCTGTCACTCAACATCCACATGTCCAGTTTAGGTTGCGACCTCCACAAAGCCAGCAAGGATCCAAGTGTTTATGTGGTCACCAGCATAACTCCGGGAGCAATCTGATTTTTGATAGAGTTGAGAGCTCTTCCTTTGATTCCATGAGGCAGAAGTATCTAGAAGGATGCGGAGGGTCTTAGAGGACCACTGAGTATGACTGATGTACTGTCCCTGGGGAAGCCACCTCCCGCTATTGCAAGCAGTGATGGAGGCTGGACAGTGGGAAAAACTTCTGAAGACTCTTAAGGTGGAAGGAAAGACTTCCAGGGTTTCCATGAAGCCTTTGGGGAGGGATGGCCTTGGTCTTTTCAAGCTTGGAGGGAGTCAAGGGGCTTGTGAATGTGGAAAGGTTTACTTCCATCCTTATAGGATTGATCTAAAAGAGGTCTGGCCACTTCCTCTTCAGGACTCATCATTCTCAGTGCGACTCCATTCACAATTTCTCTGATAACTGTCTGTTCTTTGGCCAGAAATCTGGTTCTTGAATTCCCTCTCCTGTTCTTCCCACGGTTTGGGAACCAACTCCAGCTCCATCTTATGGTGCCAGAAGAACAGAGAGGTAGAGCCACTTCTGGACAGTGGCACAGCAAACCTACAAGGAGCTGGGGACGTGAAGGGAGAGGATGTGATCCTCAGAGGGGAAAGGGCAGGGCTGTCCAGGACAGGGTTTGACATCAGCCGGAAGAGCCCCCCCACCCAGCCCCTGAGATCCAAATGTGCACACGATGGATCTGTCTTCACAGCCAAGGGCCCCCTCCCTCCCAAGGAGAAAATCCCACAAGTGGGGAACATCTGGATCAAACCGCAACCATGAAAGCACAACATCAAACGAGGGCTTCGGAGCGACCCTCCCCACAGGCCCTGCTCCAAGAGAAACTGCAGATCTTCCTGCTCTAAGCTTTTAAGTGTCACTGAACCACTCAAGTTTGGGATCTCCCCTTATTCACCGGAGACAGATGTCCCCGAGTGAGCACGGTTGGGGGTTGGGTTCGATTACCCCAGCGGGAAAGGATTTGTGTGACCTGATCCAGGCCACGTCAGGGGGTAGCCTGGGAGTTAGCCTGGGAGTCAGAGCCGTGAGGAGGGGCGCCAGCAGTTCAGGCTGGGGGTGGGGAGAGAGAGGGGACAGGTGGGCCTTTTAAAACGTGCCTACATCAAAGGTCTGAGCAGGCTCCCTTCCCAGCTTCGGGCGCCTCGGGGCAGGAAAGCAGTGATTTCACCACATAACTGCACGTAGTCGGAGGGATCTCAGTCTGAGAACTTCTGGGGAATGTGGAGAGGAGAGGGAGGGTGCTCCCCAGAGAGGAGGACAGGGCAAGTGGGTTTCTTCTTTCCAAATAGCCTGCCCAGGCCAAGGAGAATGGGGCCATATGCTGCCTCCCTCCCACTCGACCCCTGTGGAGGGAGGCAGAGGAAGGACATTCTTCCAAGGTGCAGAGGAGGCAGCAGCTGCGGCCGCGGGAGGTGGGAGCTGGATCCAGATGGAGAGTGAGGGAGAAGCAGGGGCATCGTCCCCAAAGGCTGAGGGAGAAGACGGAGAACACATAATTCCAGGAGGCTGGTGGCTCCTCCCTTCTTGCTCCCAGGCTCCATCCTCTCCTCGGAAACACAGCACCTGGCCATGATGCTAGCAGGGAGGGATGAGGGAGGGGTAGGTGGGACCAGGAGGCGCCCCAGAGATGGCTGGAACCTCAGTCCACATTTGAATACTCTGCCCAAAGAGAGGGTGGGTAAGAGGGTGCTGACACCCCACTGTGTGGAAGAAGTCAACAGTTTCTCCTCGTGGTGGAAGATAAGCTTCAGTTGGGAGAGTATGGGAAGAAAAAGTGTACCACTCACTCTCAGTTCACATCAGCCCCCCTTTCAGGATGCCTTCCCTGCCCCCTTCTTCTCCTCTTTGCCCTGCGAGGTTTAGGTGTGGGCGTGGTACCCCACAATGCCTGGAGGGGGTAGCACCGCTGTAGGGCCTTCCCTCACTGCCTTGTAAAGATCTGCTTCTGGTTTCTTTCCCCATCTAGACTGTCAGCCTTGAAAACGTGGGCTCCTTCCCTCCCACTGGGTTCCCAGTGCCTGGCAGAGAGTAGGTGCTTGGTGATGAAGCCCTATTCCAGCTCCCAGATGGCACGCATTTCTCCCACCACCTGCATTCTGGGAAACAAGGGACACCCACGTGATGATTCCTCCGCAGTCGCAGGCCCTATAAGGGTCTCCAAGGGCAGCTCCTATCTGACATCCTCTGGGGGTCCTCTGGGGGGACCCTAGCTGAGAGCACTCTCTCTCACCTCTGAAATGGGCTGTGCACAAGTTTCGCCTCTGTGGTCGGGGCTATTACTGTATGTATTAATCTGGGATGGATGTGTCGTGTTTGGTCACATGAGACCCAACGCTCTCTGGAACCAAACTCTTTACCTCCGACTCTTCACGTGGCCCGCAGTGCCCAGCGTGGAGGAATCCCGTCAGGAGAGGCTGACTGTGGACTGGCTGACTCTTCCAAGTCCTAGTGTGTCAGCCTCTGATGTGGTGGCTCGTCTAGGGCTCTGATGGCTGAGTGTCCGGAGCTGCTGAGTTGGGGATGTCCTGGCAGAATGGGGTGAACTGGACACGAAGGAGCTCGGTCCCAGTGAGGTAAGGACACGGTGTCTGAGGGACCCTGCACGCCGAAAGAATGCTTGAGGGGGATGTTGTGGAAATGACTAAGGTCAGTGGGCTTTATTCAGACTCTTTCGGAGAGGAAAGCATAAAATTGGGTGGAAGGAGAGAAGAGCAGGGCTGGCAGAGGATTAAGAAGAATATCCAGGCGGGATGGACTTTGCAGTGGGTAAGGAGGCTAAGGCAGCTTTGCCTGCAGGTGAGGGCCCAGGAGGGAAGGGCCTGGGCAATTGTAAACATTCACTCCACACCAAGGACCCTGACCATCCACCACTCCACGACCCACTGCCATCCCTCCCCAAACTCTAGGCCAGGAGCGATCCTACATCTCACTGCAATTTCTGGGTCCAGGCTGACCTGTGCTCCAGCCACATCACCTGACGCTGAGCTTGGGTCGGATCAGCTTTGCTCCATACCCCCAAGAGCTTCCCTTTTAGGACTGGAGCTGCCTTTGAAGTTGTGAAGAGAAGACTGGTGAGCTGTCCTCTGAGCCTAGATCGCCCAGCTGTCAGTGAGGGGAGGGAATCTCCACTTTGAGCCCTTCTTCTGGGGCTGAGTCATTGACCCTTTAGTTGTCAAAATGTAGATTTTTCATCTGTGAATACAGGGCAAAACTGACTGAATCGCCAGCATCTCTGGGCTGCAGGGTGGCAGCACTGCTCAGCTGAGGACCAACCACTCACTGCACTCCTGGAGCACAACTCTAGGTGGTGCCATTCACATAGGATTTGATGAGCACGGCACCCGCGCCCCCACCCACCCACAAGGTTGTGTGATGTGGGGGGACACCATCATCCCTTTCTGGGTCGGGACTTCCCTGGTGGCTCAGATGGTAAAGAATCTGCCTGCGTTGCAGGAGGCCTGGGTTCAGTCCCTGGGTCCAGAAGATCCCCTGGAGAAGGGAATGGCTACCCACATGGGTATGCTTGCCTGGAGAATTCCTTGGACATAGGAGCCTGCTGGGCTACAGTCCATGGGGTCACAAATAATTGGACACTGAGGACTTTTCTATTTACCAACCCAAGGAAGTCAAACTGAGAACCAATAATATTTGTGAGGCTTTCCCTGGGGACAGAAAGGTGGAGAAAATGATCTCCAAAGTCATGTACTCATGAGACGTAGGCACCAGGAAACCCGAGTGTCTCCCAGAACAACAGGCCCATGGAGCAGGATGCAGTCTTAATTTGGGTAGCAGGGAAAAGAAATGCAGATTCCATCCATCGAGGAAGGCAAATGGTCTTCAATTCAGATAGAAAACAGTAACCTAATGGCACTTAGTAGGTCTGTAGTTACTACGAGGTGAATCAGAATCAGTGTTGACATTCCTGTCTCTTGGTTTGGAGTTCATGAAAGCAGAAAGGCCTAGCCACCATTGTGACACTTGTGTATGGGAATTTGCTGAAATCTGAAATGAGATTCTGACCCAGATGGGGGTCAGGAATTTGTTTCTTTCCCTTTTCCTCCTTCTTAGGGAAAGCTTAGTTTGCTATTTAGGATGAAAAATAACCACCAGATGAACAGAAGAACGATCATCAGAAATGATAAATAACACACTCCAGATGTGTCCAGAGAGAAATGCAACTGAAAGCACCACTGCCTCCAAGTAGTCACCTTGGGGAAAACCCCTTCTTCCAACAAGGCTGCAATGACACCAGTTCTGTAACTCCTCTTTGGGAACTGTCTTGAAGGTACATGACTCAGTCTTTGAATGTCCTTATTGGTGAGAAAATCACTTGTTTTTCTGGAATCAGTCAAAAAATAATTTGTAGCTAATCATGTTTGTCTTGAGTATTTGTAGAATGGCTACAAAGTCCAATTTAAAGGAGTCTTTGCAAAAGTGGTTAAATCAAAGGAGGTATAGATGTATGTCCTCCTGAGTTGACTGTTCTGAAGGACATCCTTTGTTCGTTCTCCTGTGTTTGTTTAAAGAAGCTAATCACAGATACACATCCCATATTGTATTCTGTGTAATAAAATAATGTATCAGGATGTTGAAGGCTATATGCTAACAGTTTCCTCCTCCTCCTGCTATTACGACTTCATGCCTCTGTCTACACGTACTTGCTTTTGCTGAGGGAGGCAGGGAATAGAGAAATGGGGCAGACTCCTAGGAAGAACTGGTGCTGTTACGCAGGATGAAGGTTCGGATCCCCATCTACCCTCTAGAGTTGCCTAACTCTGCACTCCTTTTTGGAATAGCTCCATGTTCACTCTCCCAGGGGATTTGGTCAACTGGGCAGAGCACTTTTTAGAGGAGAGGGATTCATTTTGTAGCATGATTCCCTGTCATTCATGCAAAAATCGGCATAATTTTAAGAGAGGGAAGTTGTTGGCTCATGAATTATGTAAAAATGTATTTTTCACAAAAAATGGAGGGGAGGAGGTCAAAACACACCCACACAGCAACCTGTTTCTAACAATGATCAGTTAATCTAAATGAAGAACTCTCCAGTTGGAGAAGTTTCCAGGATGTTTGCTTTCTTTTTAAATTTTTTAAAAATTTATGGCTATGGTTGGTCTTCGTTGCTGTTTGGGCTCTCTAGTTGTGGTGCATGGGTTTACTTATCCCTTAGCATGTGGGATCTTAGTTTCCCGACCAGGGATCCAACCTACATCCCCTGCATTGGAAGGTAGATTCTTAATTGCCACCAGGGAAGTCCCAGGATGTTTGCTTTCCTGAGGAAAGATCTGGAAGAAATGGATGAGCCCCAGATCAGGGAGCCTGAGGGTCAGTCTTGGGAAGGCTCGCCCACCTTGAGCAGTGGTTTTGGGAGAGGTTCCAGTCCTTGGGCTCGAGCTGGGTTTGTGGGGTGGAGGTGGGTGTGCTTGCCAGGGCTGGGGGCCCAGGGCGAGATGGCGTGACCTCCAGGAAGCCTAGCCCGGCAGAACCCTCAGTGCTCCTTTGCTGATAGACCAAGCTGCAAATCAGGAATTTATTAGGAGCTGAGACTCATTTTCCCACCCTTTATAGCCCTGACGACTCAGAGCCAGACTCTGGCAAGGGGCTTCCTCATGGTTTTAATTAGACAATTAATTTTTTATTGGGTCGTTTGATTTCCGGAGCTGATTCCACTCTCCCCTTTGTCCCCCACCTGCCTTCCAGCTGTGAAAAGCCAAGGGGAGGCCGGGGGATTCGGGGAGCATGCAGAGGAAAAATGAGAGGCCTGCCTTGGAGCTGATGTGGAGATCAGTGAGTGGGGAGGGGTGGGAACCCTTCTGTGCCCCTCAGCTGGTCCAGCAAGAGACACTGTCCAGAGCTCAGCCTTGGGCTTGCGGGGCTGCACAAAGGCATTTCTAGCTACTCCCCGCAAGCTTTTCCCAAGCTGTTGGGCTAATTAGTAACATGGGGTGAGGGGGGCAGACAGGGAAATGTGCCCAAAATACCTTAGCGGCATTTCTGTGGTTAATCCTGGCCGCGCTTGGAGGCTGTTTACCCTCTACCCAGGGATTAGGAACCTGTTTGAGTTAGAAGGGCAGAGAGAGGCCAGGGCTCCACTCTGTCCTCCACCTGCTCGTAGGAGCTGGGCAGGGGCGCTGAGCCAGCAGGAAGAAAAGTGAGAGAAACCTGTCTTCAATCTATCTCCCTTTATTGATCTCCCTGCCGCCCAGCTGCTGGGCTGCTTTGGAATCTTGATCCTCTCCCTGCCTGCCTCCCCCCTCAACACTGCCCTTGTGGTCAAATATCAACCTGCTTCAGAAAGGTGGGGACGAGAGAAAGAGTGGCAGGTGGTATTTTGGCCGGGGGCATGGGCCCGGGAACGGAAGGCTCCCTTATAGACCATACACACTCTCTCAGAGGAGAGGGAAGTCCCCTCCCAGGATTCCTGATCATCTCCATTCTCCAATGCCAAAGGAAAAGGCTAGAGTCAAGGAAGAATTTCCTTTCAGTAGCAGAAACAAGCAGCTCCTTCTTTAGAGTTCTATGAGAGTGCAAGGCCAGTTTCTATTGAGAGCTACGTGGGTTAGAGGCCTTGAAATGGAATTGCAGGGATCAGAGGACTGTTTCCTCAGGTGCCCTGTTGGTGGGGACATTGTCACTTGTTGTTCCTGCACAAGGACTCCCGAAAATGTGCGGTCACATGTGCTGACATAGCCACTCAGAGTCAAACTAACAAGCACTCCCCAAAGAACAAACCAGGACACCATTCAAAGAGGGGACCCTCCCCGCCATCCACACTGTCTTCTAGAGTAAGCAAACCCCTGAACTGGGACACGTTGGGTCCACCCAGCACCACCCCCTCTGGGGCCCGGGGGAGCACAGGCTTCCCTTGGGGCCCAGGACTGGAATAGGAGCGCATACTTACACTGGGTTTTGAGAGGCACAAAGATAAAAGGATCCAGAGATCAAAGAGCCCCTAGAAGCTTGGTGTGCAGACCTCCGGGTCTAGGATTTGTTCTTTAAAGAGATTCCCTTCTCCTGCAAAAACTCACATTGAGGGGTCCCTCTGTTAAGGCTTGTGGTGGTTCCATGCTCAGAGCATGAGGTGGGCCTCACTGGGACACAGATCTGTCTCCTGCTGGGGCTCATCTCTGATCACCCAAGCCGTGCAGAACTCCACAGAAGGCGGGACGGGAAAGTGTGTATATGGGATTTGGGGGTGAAACGCAGAATAAGCCTAGATCATCCATTGACTTCTGTGCTTTTGTGTGGCTCCAAGGTGGAGAGGATTCAGACCTTCCAGGGCTCAGGGCACTGGACTAAGGGGGTGCAGTGTATGTGCATGGGGATCCTGAGCTGGGCACCTTTTGGCCAGTGAGAACAAAGGGGCCAGGGATGCAGGCAAATCCCCATCAGAGAAGTCATGTGTGTGTGAGCATGTGTGGATGAGTGTCCATCTGCA